TTTCCAGCTGATCGGTGCTTCTTCGGGGCTTTCAGGGCTCAGCGGAAGCACCAGGATCAGCCCCATGCTCCAGCTGGAGCTCGGCACTGATCCTGGTGCTTCTGCTGAGCCCAGAAGAAGCACCGATCAGCTGGAATGTTGCAGCCTCTCCAGGGTCTTGTGATTTACATTCAGATGCTTGGCAACTGATTCATTTTTATGACGATCAGTGTCCCAGGGTCATGTGAAGTGACCAAAACCTGCAACCACCCAACAGACGGGGGGGGGATAAAAACCAAACACCCCCCCCACTGCACCCCCACTGCCAATCCTCAACAGAAATGCTCACAATGAAAACCTTGGACAAGATGAAGAGCTGGCAGGCTCATTTTGGATGTGTGCCGTTGTGCCCACAGTAAAAAAAAAATGACAATAAAGGTTATCTTATTTCCCTACCTAAACGATAAATGGAGAAAGAATGGCCAGTGGAAGTCAGAATATCAATGGGAGAAAGCAATTTTGGATTTCCCGCTGGCTTCCCCATCGATTATCCTTGTGAGAAGCTGACAGCAAGCGTGGAAATCTTTTCTGCCTTCTCCCTTTTGTTCCTGCTTCTTTTCTTCCCCTCCTCAAAGCCTTCTGGTGAGAATCCACTAGCAATTACAGGTGTATATTTTAGTCTAGACCAGTGGTTCTTAACCTTTTTGAATGAATCGCCCCCTTGAGCCAATGAGGAAGTTGTCATCGCCCCCCTCCCCCCAACATAACCTCCCAATCACAACATGGGAAATAATTCTTCAATTTATGCAAACACTTTTTTTGTTTTCTTTAAAATTGTTCATCAGGACATATTGATGCAAATAATTTATTTCCAGTCTTTCCCCCCATATCTCCCATATTCTGGCTAATGGCGCATCACTGTATGGGTAGAGGCTGCTGCGCAACACACATGAAGATAGGCAATGCGTATTTACATATGTACGGCGTTCTGTACTGAAGCTAGCTGGAGGAACATTTGAAAACACTATTTGATCCACTAATAGCGAGTGATCTGATGTTTTTGTACGACAGATATACAGCCATTCACTGTACGAAAAAGTCTCAATAGCGTCCCCATAACTTGTCGCTCCATCGCCTCCATATCGCTCCCTTTTCGTTCCTTCGCCCCCACGTCGCCCCTTTTCATTCCATCGCCCCCCCTGAAAAATGAAATCGCCCCCTGGGGGAGCAATATCACCCAGGTTAAGAACCACTGGTCTAGACCAGTCAGCATAGCTGACTCAGGAATTCTGGGAGTTGAAGTCCATGAGTCATAAAAGAGCTGAGGTTGCCTACCCCTGGTCTAGACTGATGTGTGTTACACATCTAAAATCTTCCACATTCAATTCTTACGGATCTCTGCCTAAAATCTTCCATAATCAATTCTTATGGATCTCGTTTGGGTTCTGGTTTTATCATGCAGAGAGAATGTATCTGAACTTTCTACACCACACCGTACATAGCTATACATTTTTTATTTCCCAAATCCCAGACTTGCTTTTTGATCTACGAAACCTCAAATTCTTTCAAAAGACTAACCACATTTCAGTGCAACTAACAGGCAAACCCAACTCAGCGGCAAATTTTGGTCCAGGTTGTTGTTAGTTGCGAAGTTGTGTCCGACCCATCGCAACCCCATAGACGTTTCTCCAAGTCTTCCTGTCCTGTACCATCTTCTGGAGTCCCTTTAAGCTCATGCCTACTGCTTCAGTGACTCCATCCAGCCCCCTCATTTTCTCTTGTCCCCTTCTTCTATTGCCCTCCATCTTTCCCAGCATTAGGCCCTTCTCCAGGGAGTTCTTCCTTCTCATTAGGTGGCCAACCCCTCAAAATTAGATTGAGTAACATCAGAAGACATCTGCACAGAAAGGAAGGCAGGAGAAACAGAGAAAAAGATGGGACCAAAAAGGAGGAAAATAAGCAAAAAACAGAGGAAAGTCTCCTTGACAAGACCCTTTTTGGAGTTCTCTGAGCTTAGGAATATCGACACCCAAGCACAAATGTTTTTACCTTGTGTTTTGGCAAGGTTTGCTCAGCACAGCGGTTCAGACGGGAATTGTCTTGCTTAATCCCCAGTCTGTGTGCAGTTTGAACTTTATGGGGCTTTCTAGGGCGCATCCAGTGATTGCATGAACAAAACCTTGCTACAATGACTTAGATGAGGGAATAGAAGGGGAACTCATCAACTTTGCAGATGACACTAAACTGGCAGGAATAGTCAACACCCCCAGAAGACAAGCTCAGGATTCAAAAAGATCTTGACAAACCGGAACAATGGCCCCTATCCAACGATATGAGTTTTAATGTGGAGAAAAGCAAAGTTTTTACATTTAGGCAGGAAAAATCAAAGGTACAAGTACAGATTGGGCGAGACCTGGCTCAAAAAAAGTAACTGTGAGAGGGACCTTGGAGTCCTAGTGGACGATCACTTGACGATGAGCCAGTAATGTGCAGCAGCAGCCAAAATACAATCCTGGGTTGCATAAACAGAGGCGTAGAATCAAGATCACGCAAAGTATTAGTATTGCTTTATAAAACCCTAGTGAGACCACACCTGGAATACTGCAACCAGTAATCCCCATATTACAAAGATGCTGAGACCTTGGAAAAAGTTCAGAGAAGAGCAACTAAGATGATCAAAGGCCTGGAGACTAAAAGATATGAAGAACAGCTGCAGGACTTGGGTTTGGCTAGTCTAAAGAAAAGAAAAGAAATAGGGGTGACATGGTAGCAGTATTCCAGTATTTGAGAGGCTGCCACAAAGAAGAGGGGGTCAAATTATTTTCCAGAGGGAAGGACAAGAAAATGATCAAAGAGATAAGCAACCAGAATTAAAGAGAAACTTCCTGACAGTGAGGATAATTAACCAGTGGAACAGCTTGCCTCCAGAAATTGTGGACACTCCACCACTGGAAGTTTTTAAGAAGAGACTGGACAGTCACTTGTCTGAGAAGATATAGGTTTTCCGCTTGAGCAGGGGGCTGGACTAGAAGACCTCCAAAATCCCTTCCAACTCTGCTATTCTATTCTATTCTATTCTATTCTATTCTATTCTATTCTATTCTATTCCATTCCATTCCATTCCATTCCATTCCAATTCTGCTCTACTCTACTCTACACTACTCTATCCTTATTCCTAGATAGTTAATATCTCATTTCCAATCTGAATTCCTGACTATTTTTCTGATCAACTGCCAAGGATAAAGTACCTGAATGCTTTTGAGAAATCATGGAACAAATTTATTTATATAATTTATACAAACCAAAAGTCTCTGCTGGTTCCATGCGATAAAAAATTTCCTCCTATGTCTGCCTCCTTTGATGATGAAAAAGTTGACTGTTTGAATTAACCTCATTTCATGGAGTTGCAGGTAATCCTCAATTTACAGCCATTATTGAGCCCAAAATTTCTATTGCTAAACAAAACATTAAGTAAGTTTGCCCCATTTTGTGACCTTTCTGGCCACAGTTAAGTGAATTGCTGTGTTAAATTAGTCAAACTGTTGTTAAGTGAATCTGGCTTCCCCACTGACTTGGTCAGGTCACAAAAGGGGATCACATGACCCCGGGATACTGCATCCATCATAAATATGAGTTAATTGCCAAGTGTCTGACTTGATCACATAACCATGGGGATGCAACAATGGTTGTGCAAAAATTGGTCATAACTCACTTTTTTCAGTGCCGTTGTAACTTTGAACCATCATTAAACTGTTGAAAGTCGAGAACCACCTGGTTTTTACCATATACAGTGGGGTAAAAAAGTATTTAGTCAGCCACCAATTGTGCAAGTTCTCCCACTTAAAAAGATGAGAGAGGCCTGTAATTGTCGTCATAGGTAGACCTCAACTACGAGAGACAAAATGAGAAAACAAATCCAGACAATCACATTGTCTGATCTGGAAAGAATTTATTTGCAAATTATGGTGGAAAATAAGTATATGGTCACCTACAAACAAGCAAGATTTCTGGCTCTCACAGACCTATAACTTCTTCTTTAAGAGGCTCCTCTGTCCTCCACTCATTACCTGTATTAATGGCACCTGTTTGAACTTGTTATCAGTATAAAAGACACCTATCCACAACCTCAAACAGTCACACTCCAAACTCCACTATGGTGAAGATCAAAGAGCTGTCGGAGGACATCAGAAACAAAATTGTAGACCTGCACCAGGCTGGGAAGACTGAATCTGCCATAGGCAAGCAGCTTGGTGTGAAGAAATCAACTGTGGGAGCAATAATTAGAAAATGGAAGACATACAAGACCACTGATAATCTCCCTCGATCTGGAGTTCCACACAAGATCTCACCCCGTGGGGTCAACATGATCACAAGAACGGTGAGCAAAAATCCCAGAACCACACAGGGGGACCTAGTGAATGACCTGCAGAGACCTGGGACCAACGTAACAAAGGCAACCATCAGTAACACACTACGCCGCCAGGGACTCAGATCCTGCAGTGCCAGACGTGTCCCCCTGCTTAAGCCAGTACATGTCCAGGCCCGTCTGAAGTTTGCTAGAGAGCATCTGGATGATCCAGAAGAGGATTGGGAGAATGTCATATGGTCAGATGAAACCAAAGTAGAACTGTTTGGTAGAAACACGTTGTGTTTGGAGGAGAGAGAATGCCGAGTTGCATCCAAAGAACACCATACCTACTGTGAAGCATGGGGGTGGCAACATCATGCTTTGGGGCTGTTTCTCTGCAAAGGGACCAGGACGACTGATCCGTGTACAGGAATGAACGAATGGGGCCGTGTATCGTGAGATTTTGAGTGCAAACTTCCTTCCATCAGCAAGGGCACTGAAGATGAAACGTGGCTGGGTCTTTCAGCATGACAATGATCCCAAACACACCGCCCGGGCAATGAAGGAGTGGCTTCGTAAGAAGCATTTCAAGGTCCTGGAGTGGCCTAGCCAGTTTCCAGATCTCAATCCCATAGAAAACCTTTGGACGGAGTTGAAAGTCCGTGTTGCCCAGTGACAGCCCCAAAACATCACTGCTCTAGAGGAGATCTGCATGGAGAAATGGGCCAACATACCAGCAACAGTGTATGCCAACCTTGTGAAGACTTACAGAAAACGTTTGACCTCTGTCATTGCCAACATATAACGAAGTATTGAGATGAACGTTTGATATTGACCAAATACTTATTTTCCACCATAATTTGCAAATAAATTCTTTCCAAATCAGACAATGTGATTGTCTGGATTTGTTTTCTCGTTTTGTCTCTCGTAGTTGAGGTCTACCTATGATGACAATTACAGGCCACTCTCATCTTTTTAAGTGGGGAGAACTTGCACAATTGGTGGCTGACTAAATACTTTTTTGCCCCACTGTACATCTTTTTGTGAGAAGTGCACCCTTCTCAAATGAAGTTTATTCCACATTCCATGCATGTATAATTTCCTCCTGTGTAGATCTTTTCATGACAAATAAAGGTCCTGTAGTCATTAAAAAGTTTTTTTCATCCTCACTGCATTTGTAAGGATTCTCTCCTGCGTGGATCCTTTGGTGCCGAATAAGGTCTTTGTTGTCGATAAAGCTGTCTTTACACGCCATACCTTTATATGGTCCCTCCCCCTTATGGATCCTTTTATGAGAATTAAGTTTTCCTTTTTGAGTAAAACTCTTTCCACACTCCAGGCATTTATATGGTCTCTCTCCTGAATGGATACTTTTATGAGAAATAAGTTTTCCTTTCTCAGTAAAGCTCTTTCCACACTCCAGGCATTTATAGGGCTTTTCCTGTGTGTGAATCATTTGGTGACGAATAAGATCTTTGTTACCAAAAAAGCTCTTTCCGCACTCCAGGCATGTGCAGGGTCTCTTTCCTGTGTGGACCCTTTGATGGGAAGTTAGCTCTCTATTCTCAATGAATCTTTTTCCACATTCCCTGCAAGTATACGGTTTTTCACCCGTGTGGATCCTCTGATGACGGTTTAGGTAAGAGTTTCTACTGAAGCCCTTTCCACACTCTGTGCACTTATAAGGTTTCTCTCCGGTGTGGACCCTTTCATGACAAGTAAGATGTTCTTTCTGAGTAAAGCTCTTTCCACACTCTATGCACTTGTACGGTCTTTCACCTGTGTGGATCCTTTTATGAGAATTAAGTCGTCCTTCCTCAGCAAAGCTCTTTCCACATTCTCTGCATTTATACGGTCTCTCCCCGGTATGGATTCGTTCGTGACGAGTAAGATGTCCTTTCTGAGTGAATCCTTTCCCACACGACGTGCATTTGTATGGAGTCTCTACAGGGAGGATCTTTTCATGAAGGGTAAAGTTATCAGCAAAGGTTTTTTCACACTCGATGCACCTATATCGACTCCGGTCTATATTGATCCTTTCATGGCAAGTAAGGTCTCTGTTCTCAATAAACCTCTTTCCACACTCGATGCATTTATACAGTCTCTCGCCTGTGTGGGTCCTTCTATGAGAGCTAAGTTGCCCTTTTTGAGCAAAGCTCTTTCCGCATTCCGTGCACGTATATGGCTTCTCCCCCGTGTGGATCCTTTTGTGATGAGTAAGATGTCCTTTCTGACTGAACTGCTTTCCACACTCCACGCATTTGTGTGGTTTATCACCGGTGTGGACCCTCTGATGGCGATTGAGATTACTTTTGCTACTGAAGCTCTTTCCACACCTCATGCATAGTTTTATCTTTCTGCTCAAAATGAAATCCCTCCCAAATTTTACAAAGGTATGTGCTTTGTGTTTCCCGTAGAGTTTTGCATGTAAAGCAAGAGAGAAGAACTGGTTGACATATTTTCCACACTGTTTGGAGACATACTCTTTTCCTGTAGTCTGACTTCTGTCATATTCCCCTAAATCAAATTCATTTTGCTCTCTTTGGCCATATTTTCCTTTTCTCTTCTCTTTCTGACCTGGCTGAGTAAGGAAGCCATGGATTTCGATAGGGAGAGAAATGGAGGACATCTCCTCTCCATTTTCTGAGGGGCTTCTCGCATGCACTTGTGGGTCCTCTTGATGGCCAAACATCATTTTTCCCACTTCATGCTTTGCTGTTTGCATTGGCATTAACCTTGGCTGCTGGTCATTCTCATTCTCCAGCCCATCACCTGGTGAAGAAAAGAAAATAGAAATTCCTATTAGGATTTAGATGTCAAGCACCAGGGAAATCAGAAGATCCAGGCAGTTCAAATGGGTATAAAGATTTCTTGCAAACCTAAGCTCTATACAAGAACCTGAACTACTAACGGCTAAAGCAAATTGGCAGTAGATTACAGTCAAAGGAATTCAAGGTGAGCTGGACTTAAGTCTCTTGTGGGCTCAACGGGACTCATGACTGATGACACGTTTGATCCTTCCCTCGGGCACAGCCTGGTCCTCTGCTACATTACAAATGTTAAGGACAGGCAATTCCTTTTCTCAAAAACATGGTTGGCTGGCTTGGAGATGTTGGATGCAAGATGTTATCTAGGAATTTTAATGGAATCCAAGGAATTTTTAGTCAGGAGTCCAACTGACCTGTTATTCTGCCCAGGCATTCCCATGGAGTATCTAAGGCCTTTCCCAAAGTTACGGTCAGTGTTTCTGCCAAGGCCTTGGCTGTGACGAGAACCTTGGACAAAATTATCCCTGAATTGTCTTTGCCCTTGAATTGTGATCCAGCAGGATCCTGGCAGTTGAAGGGAATCAAGGAGAAGTGGATAGGGCTATTTTCTGCTAACTGCGAAACATGTGTCACCCTGCTTGTTTTCTTGAGATTAGGAAAGGTTTTAAAGATGTGCTATTATTCAGATGGTGGCCAGGTAAGAGTCCTCACACCCTAAGCAAATGAGTGAAGGTATCTTCACTGTTTACCTCCCACTGCAAACACCTTTCCCAATGAATGGAACCCAGAGCAAAGAGAGTCCTTACCCATGGTGGCCATATTACTGGAAACTTCCAGCATGACTTCCTTGCACAAGGCCTTCTGGCCAGAATCCAGCAGTGCCCACTCCTCCTCTGTGAAGTCCACAGCCACCTCCTCAAAGGGAGTAGAACTCTAGAAAGAGAAACAATATCTTCATTAGTAGACAATCCCAGGAAACACTTGTATGCTTCGGGCACAAACCAGAAAACACAGATTTACAAGACACCAAATGGATATTTTATGGAAAAGAAGGCTTAAATCTACTTCTCGCCATAATTCTTGTTGCTGTGAAGCTTCAAGTTCAGGCTGTTGCTTTGGCTGTAACAATCTTGGCGTAAGTGCATCTAAGAAATAGAATGTCAACATTGCTCTCACTGGGGAGCCTCTCTCTAGTCCAAACAATTCAACAAAGAGGTTGGGGAGACAGTATCCCTGGCCTCACCTGTCAGGTTCAGCAGATTCCTTAGAAAATAGGATAGGGGACTGCAACACATTTTTAGTAGATATATTTCTGCAGTAGTTTTAATCTAATAGATACTGTTTCACTTCATGGTTTTTATTTTTAACTTGTTTTGAAAAGCGTTTGAAGAACATTAAGAAAGATGAAACTCTTCTGACTCATAAATTACATGTCTTATTATGGAATAACAGAGTTGGAAGGAGGTCTTCTAGCCCAAACACCTGCTCAAACAGGAGACACAATACAATTCCAGGCAAGAGGCTATCCAGTCTCTTCTCAAAAGTCCCAGTGATGGACCACCCACAACTTCTGAAGGCAACTGGTTAATTGTTCTTAACGCTAGGAAATTTCTCCTTAATATCATGGCCCCTCAGAGGTCCGTTCGAAGGAGGAAGAGTTGGAGCTGGGACTGGACAACAGGGAAGGCATTAAATATGAGCTAGCAGTGTGCTGCAACTGCCAAAAAACTCAATACAATGCTAGGCTGCATTAACAAAGGGATAGAATCAAGATTACTTGAAGTGTTAATATCACTTTACAATGCCTTGGTAAGGCCACTCTTGGAATACTGCATCCAGTTTTGGTCGTCACAATGTCAAAAAGATGTTGAGACTCTAGAAAGAGTACAAAGAGCAACAAAGATGATTAGGGGACTTGAGGCTAAAACATATAAGGAACAGTTGTTGGAATTGGATATGTCTAGTTTAACTAAGAGAAGGACGAGGAGGGACATGATAGCAGTGTTCCAGTATCTCAGGGGCTGCCACAAAGAAGAGGGAGTCAAGCTATTCTCCAAAGCGCCTGAAGGCAGGACAAAAAGCAATGGATGGAAACTAATCAAAGAGAGAAGCAACCAAGAATTAAGGAGAAATTTCCTGATAGAACAATTAATCAGTGGAACAACCTGTCTCCAGAAGCGGTGAATGCTCCAACACTGGACGTTTTTAAGAAGAGACTGGACAGCCATTTGTCTGAAATGTTATAGGGTTTCCTGCCTGAGCAAGGGGTTGAACTAGCTGACCTCCAAGGTCGCTTCCAACTATTATTATTATTATTATTATTATTATTATTATTATTTGCATTTTTTTGCACTTTCCTGAGTCCCAACATTTTTATAACATATTATTACCTTACCTTACCTTATTGTACTATATTATTATTTTGAATAGTCTTTTGTTTGCATTCCTAGAACAATCTTAAAAGGTGAATGAATGTGACTCAGTGGGCCATTCTGGGGAAACCCCATGTTCAAATGCACCCAGACTCAGCATTTGGTTGTAAGAGCAGCTCATGAATGGAAGGAATTTAAACTTCTCACAAGAAACCCACACTTACCTGGCAAGGTGGTCTCATTTGGATTCTTCTGAAAAGCTCTTTAGAAGGAATGGATGGATCTCCTGATCCCTGAAGGTCTGCTGAAATATCTCCCATCAATGGCTCCTGCAACTGAAAGAACAGCCTGGTTTATGATCCATTTTCAAATGACTGTAACCATATTAGTTAGCATGCTTTACTTTTTTCCTCTCCACTTGTATTTCCCCAACCCAAGTCATCAAACTTGAAAACTCCAGCTCTATGGTGTTCTCCTCCCAGTAGGAAAACCACCAATCAAGAAGTTCAGGAATAGACCTTAGAATAAAAATAGAGATGCTTTCAGGGGTAAAATGCATCCCCTGAAAACACAGACTGTCATTAAAAAGAAATTTGAATAATTCCTTCTTTCTCACCTCCAATTCCTAGTCAGGTTTAACTTGTAATGAGAATTAAGAATGAAGACAATTTTGAAAAAAATAGAAAAACAAAAGTTGAATAGGGAGAATCTCTGTTGGAATGAAGCGTAACCTTTCGGCAGATTTGCCCAATAAACCACTTTTGCAATATGATTTTGAAGGGTATTCAACTTTAATGAATGATATGTTCTCCATATCAAAGCACAGGGACACACAGAGAGCAATAATATTCCAAAATGGACTAAAAGAATGACATGCCACAAACTGGGAATAGATCATACTAGAATTAGTAACAGTAATAATAATCACTATAGGAACTTTCAAAACGTGCCTACACAATCTTTCCACTACATTAGTTGGGGAAAACATGTAAGTTTGGGATCTGCACCTCTACTTATTTTTGCTGAAAGTAAGCAATGTAAAAATGGTAATTAGACTGTGATTTGGTAAATTATTTTACTGAATATCACTGCTTTCAACGGTGATTGTGCTCATTACAACAAAAAAGCTTGGGGGGAAGGGAAAAGTGGTTTCTGTGCTTTTTCCTTGTAACAGCAAACATAGGGTTTGAAATATGCAATCTAAATACTATTTGGTCCACCTAAGCACAATTTTCATTTTTTATTTCATAACTTTTTATAATCCTGTTCATTCCTTGTACTAATTTGCAGCTGTGTGAAATCCCTTTGCTTTCGTTTTCCTGCTTCTTGCCAAATATATTATCTAGGACAGTGTTTCTCAACCTTGACAATTTTAAGGCATGTGGACTTCAACTCCCAGAATTCCACAGCCAGCTGGCTGTGGAATTCTGGGAGTTGAAGTCCACATGCCTTAAAATTGTCAAGGTTGAGAAACACTGATCTAGGAGAAGAAACACTACTTTCCAAAATCAATTAACAGGCCCTGTTCACGAGAAAGAGGATTCACTTATCTTAAGTTCACTGCTAATGGTACTGACCAAGATTTCTAAAAGGACCAGAGAACCGGGAGGATCCAATTGATATATACATATAGGATGGGATTTTTGGGGAAGAACTATCATTGGATACAGGAACCCCCTTAGATTCAGGATTGGGGTCTGTGTTTTCGGTCTGGGAATCCTGATTGGAAGAACCATTTCTCAATCCTTAGAGCAGGGGTCCCCAACCCCGGGTACCAGCAGCATACCAGCAAATGTGTCCGCACAAACAAGCAAAGCCCCATCAGTGGGATGCAGGCAGCACACAAAACCATGGTCCGTGGAAAAACCTTTCTCCATGGAACTGACCCTGATGCCCAAAAGGTTGGGGATCTCTGCCTTAAAGGTAGTCCTGAAACAGTGGTTCTCAACCTTTTTAATGCCGCAACCCCCAACCGGTCGTAAGTCGAGGACTACTCAACCGGTCGTAAGTCGAGGACTACTCAACTGGTGCAGCAGAATGGGACTTTTGGCGGGCTCAGCAGGGCAGAGACAGCCTGGACAATTCCTATTGGCTTTTGAAAGCCAATAGAATTAGACTCTATTCAAGAGAGTCTATTCTATTGGCTTTCAAAAGCCAATAGAATAAAAGGGAGTAGCACAGCTAAGGAAAAGGGGGAAAAAATGGCGGACTGCGTTGTTTGGCGACCCCCGTGAAATGGTCGTTCGACCCCAAATGGGGTCCCGACCCACAGGGTGAGAACCGCTGTCCTGAAAAGAACCATGACAATGAATATTAGCTCCATCTTTATGGTAAAGCAGTGGTTCTCAACCTGTGGGTCGGGACCCCATTTGGGGTCGAACGACCATTTCACGGGGGTCGCCAAACAACACAGTCCGCCATTTTTTTCCCCTTTTCCTTAGCTGTGCTATTCCCTTTTATTCTATTGGCTTTTGAAAGCCAATAGAATAGACTCTCTTGAATAGAGTCTAATTCTATTGGCTTTCAAAAGCCAATAGGAATTGTCCAGGCTGTCTCTGCCCTGCTGAGCCCACCAAAAGTCCCATTCTGCAAACGGTGCTGCACCAGTTGAGTAGTCCTCGACTTACGACCGGTTGAGTAGTCCTCGACTTACGACCGGTTGGGGGTCACGGCATTAAAAAGGTTGAGAACCACTGTGGTAAAGCCACTTGAATAGGACACTGCAATTCTGAAAGTATCGTCCCCATCCTTTCCTTTTCCTTGCAGCAAAATTAGGAAGAGTTTTATGCATTTATAGGCGTTTTTTTTCATCCCCTCTACCTCCATGTGGAAATGGAGGTATCTTTTCAAAATTATTCCTGTACAGTCAATGACATGTTCCCATCTCCCCAAAGTTTATTTCCACATACACCCTCCCGGGTTCTCTGTACATCTTTTCTCTGTAACTGTTTCGCAAAGTGGCGTACAAAAGGCTGAAATTCTCTCTCACCTGCCGGCCCTCTCCGGGGGGCTCCCGCGGGGCGGAGGAGGGCGGCGGGCCGAGCAGGCAGCCCTCGGCCAGGGCCACCGCCTGGGCGCAGCTCTCCGCCCCGCACTCCCGCAGCCAGCCCGCCAGCTCCGGGGGCAGCAGGGCCAGCAACTGCTCCAGCACCACCTGGTCCAGCATCTCGGCTTTGCCGCTCCGCTCGGGCCGCAGCCACCCGCGGCACAGCCGGTGCAGGCGGCTGCAGAGCGCCCGGGGACCCTCGTCCTCCCGGGGGCGGCAGCTGCGGAAGCGCCGGCGCTCGGCCTCGGAGCTGCGGGGACGCTCGGGGAGGCCGCTCGGGTCGCCGCCGCCGCCGGCGGCGGCGGCGCTCCCCGCCTGAAGGGCCGCGGCTGCTCCCGCTCCCAGACACCCCGGGGCCGCCATCCGGCCTCCCGCTTTGGCGCAGCCTGAACGGGGGAAGCTCCCTCTGAAGCGGCCCTCGGTCAGGGCGGACCCTTCCTCAGCCGCTCCTCCCCTTGCCACGCCCCTTTCCCGGGTTCTTGGGGGACGAGAAGGGGCGGGGCTTCCTCAGAGCTTCTGAGGCGGGGCGGGGCTTCCTCAGAGCTTCTGAGGCGGGGCGGGGCTTCCTCAGAGCTTCTGAGGCGGAGAAGAACAGCTGCAAATTACTCCCGCCTCAGGTTCGCGCGCCCTCCTCTCCCCACAGAATCTCGGTCAGAGAGTGCCGCATCCTAGAGAAGGGAAACGCTACAGCTCCGCCCCCCCCGTCCTCCGTTTAGTGCTCCTGCCTAGAGCGTCTCCTACGGCAACTTTCCCCTCCCCTGTCCTCTGCTGAGCTTCGAGGGCTGGCTAAAGTCCTCTGCGCATGCCCTGTTCCATGCTGCCGCTTAAAGGATACCCGACTTTAGCTGCTGGGAGAGTATTCAGTCGGGAGTGGCGGAGGATGCGAGTGTGGAGAAGCGCTATTGGGGGGGGGCTCTTGGCTCTTTTATGACTCGTGGACTTCAACTCCCAGAATTCCTGAGCCACCCTGGCTCAGCTTGGAAACCTCCCTGTCCCCTCAGCGTGGCTGGCTCAGGAATTCTGGGAGTTGAAGTCCACGAGTCATAAAAGAGCCAAGGCTGACTACCCCTGGCCTAAAATGATAGGTGCAGTGGAGATTTTGCTGGGCAGAAATGAGGAAAGCGCCTTTGGAGGGAACCTAGTGATTATTGCTTCTGGGCAGCTGGGATTTTTCTTCTCTCTCCCTCCCCCCATCCTCTTGGAAAATGTGGATGCGTTCCTGGGACAGGTGGAAGGAGGGGGTGGGGAGGAGACTTGAGGAAGGGCAGTGCAAATGTGAGAAATGGAAAGGACCCCATGGCAGGCGTCCAGCCAGTGTATGTATTTATATATTATTAAATATATAAGCAATTAATGGGGATTCCTTCAGGCCTGCGTATTTGTCCACTCTTGTTGTCTGTATTCCTATGGGGACCTTCAATGAAGGAATGCCACTCCCCTTTTTTCTACAGAGTACAATCTGCTCCACATCTTTTAAGTTGCTCTTTATGTTCTGTTGAAGTCTTGACTTTTTTTATTCATCTTTTCTGCTTGATCTTTCCTTGGCTGACTGATTCTTAAAAAGTTGGTTTCAAGGGGCTGCATTACCTTTAAAAAAATCCCAGAAATTGATTTCCTGAAGTGGGCTTCTCCTCCTAGGTCAGAGGTAAGCAACCTTGGCTTTTATGACTCGTGGACTTCAACTCCCAGAAGAGTTGGAAGTCCGCGAGTCATAAAAGCCAAGGTTGTCTACATATCGCTGGCCGTAACAACTGGGTCAGAGAGTGGTTCTAAGAATACACAGGAGACAGTGGGAGAATTACACGTCGTAAGAGTTTATTAATAAGGTTCCAAGAGTATAAAGAGTTTCTTCTCCAAAATGTGTTGGGAAGCTCAAGCGGTGGAGAATAATTGCCTTGGCAACTGCTCAAAAGTATGCAGTCGTTTTGGGGGGGTTGATCTCACTCCTTCAACTTCTCTTCGTCAGAAGATAACAAAAGGAAATGACAAGATTTCTTTAGGTCGGGGGTCTTCAAACTTCCCCCTTTTACGACTTGTGGACTTCAGTACCCAGAATTCCTCGGCCAGCGTGCCTGGCTGAAGAATTCTGAGAGATGAAGTCCACAAGTCGTAAAAGGGCCAAGTTTGAAGACCCCTGCTTTAGCTAAAGAAAGGGGAGAAACACAAACACTATTTTGTGGGAATTAACATCTGCAGACTGGAATCCTTTCTAAATTTGGCAAATTTATACAATTTCAGATACATGCTCGGCATCACAAATATACCATGCTATCAAGACAGTGTTTCAATATCTCAGGGGAGTCAAGCTATTCTCCAAAGCGCCTGAAGGCAGGACAAGCAGCAACGGATGGAAACTAACCAAGGAGAGAAGCAACCTAGAACTAAGGAGAAACTTCCTGACAGAACAATTAACCAGTAGAACAACCTGCCTCCAGAAGTAGTGAATGCTCCAACCCTGGAAGTTTTTAAGAAGAGACTGGACAGCCATTTGTCTAAAATGGTATAGGGTTTCCTGCCTGAGCAGGGGGTTGAACTAGATGACCGCCAAGATCCCTCCCAACTTTACTATTATTATTATTATTATTATTAGTAGTAGTAGTAGTAGTAGTAGTAATAAACGAATGGAAATGGGCGGGTCACATAGCAAGAACTGATGACGGGTGCACAAAAGCAGTCACACAATGGATTCCAGTTGATAAAAACCATTCACAAGAGACCTACAACATAATGGAGTGACAACATCAGCAAGTATTGCGGGCCCAACTGGCAGAGGAAAGCTCAAGACTATATTGATTGGAAACATGCAGAAGAGACCTTTATACTGTAATGGATAAACAATGGTTAGAATGACGATAATGCAATTTGTTTTGTATAGAGTTTTTCAGTAAACTAAGAGGGAAGTCAAGTAAGCCATTAGTCCTCCGGTTGGAAAAAGATAGTGAGGGGGATGGGCAACGGAGTAAACTGAAGTGCTTAATTCATATCTTTCCACATCACGCGGAGAGAGAAAAAAAATGCAGGTTGAAACAAGCAATGGAAGACCTGGTTGGACTGAATGAAATCCAGTATTTGGGACCAGAAACATAATGAAGACCCTTCAATGGATTTATATGGTTTCTTCTATGGGCATTCTTTTATGAGAATTACAGTGTCCTTCCAAGTAAAGCTTTATCCACTCCCCCTACATTTACATAATTTCTCCTGTGTGGATCCTCTAATGGCGAGTCAAATAGAGTTCCTACTGGAGGCCTTTCCACTTTATTCATTTAGGTTTCCACCCACTGCGGATCCTTTCACAACAAAATGTTCTTTCCACACTCCATTCATTAATACGGAATTTCCCTATGTGGATTCTTTCATGAGTAAATGTGTGATTGTTCAAAGCTTTCTCCACACTATATGCATTTATATGGTCCCACCTCCAGGTGGATCCTTTTATGGGAATTAAGTGCCCCTATTTGAGCAAAGCTTCTTCCACACTCTAGGCATTTATATGGCCTCTCTCCTGTATGGATTCTTTCATGATTAGTAAGAGCATTTTTCTGAGTAAATTGCTTTCCACATTCTATGCACTTGAATGGTCTCTCCCGAGTGTGGATTCTTTCATGACGAATAAGATCTCTGTTCCAGTTAAAGCTTTTTCCACACTCCAAGCATTTGTATGGTCTATCCACTGAGTGGATCCTTTTGTGAGAATAAAGATGTCCTGTCCGAGCAAAGCTTTTTCCACATTCTGTGCATTTATATGGTTTATCTCCTGTGTGAATTGTTTCATGACCTGCAAGACATCCTTTCCGAGCAAAACTCTTTCCACACACCAAGCATTTATACGGTCTCTCCCCGGTGTGGATCCTTTTATGAGAATTAAGATGTGCTGTTTGAGCGAAGCTTTTTCCACACTCCGTGCATTTATATGGTCTCTCCCCAGTATGGATCCTTTCGTGATGTATTAAACCTCTGCTCCAATTAAAACTTTTCCCACATTTTAAACATTTATATGGTCTCTCCCCGGTGTGCATTCTTTTATGAGCATTCAGCTGTACTGTTTGAGCAAAACTTTTTCCACACAATGTGCACTTATACGGTTTCTCCCCCAGGTGAATCCTCTCATGACCTGTAAGACATCCTTTCTGAGCAAAACTTTTTCCACACTCCATGCACTTATAGGGTCTCTCCCCAGTGTGGATCCTTTCGTGACGAATAAGATCTTTGCTCCAGTTAAAGCTTTTTCCACACTCCAAGCATTTGTATGGTCTTTCCCCCGTGTGCATCCTTTGGTGGAAAGTGAGGCGCCAGTTGTCAATAAACCCCTTTCCACACTCCATGCATTTATATGATCTCTCTCCCGTGTGGATCTTTTTATGAGAATTAAGTTTTCCTTTCTGAGTGAAGCTCTTTCCACACTCCAAGCATTTATACGGTTTGTCTGCTGTGTGGATCCTTTGATGTCCATCAAGTTCACTGTGGATCCTTTGATGTCGATCAAGTTCACTGTTCTCAAAAAAGCTCTTTCCACATTCCAGGCAATTATATGGTCTGTCCCCAATATGAATCTTTTTAGGACAAATAACCTCTGTTTTCTCACAAAAGCTTTTTTCACATTCTGGATATTTACCTGGCCTCTCGCCTAGATAGATCCTCTGGTGGCAGTTAAAATTACTCGTGTTAATGAAGCTGTTTCCATACTTCATGCACAATTTCATTTTTTTGCCTAGACTGAAATCCCTTTCATATTTGACAAATGTATGCGGTTTATGTTTCCTGTGCAGTATTTTAGGTAAAGTAAAAGAGAAGGAATGACTCTTGGCAGAGAGTACTCTTTGCAGCATCAATAACCCTGGCTGCTTGTTATTCTCGTTCCTCAGCTTGTCACCATCACCTGCTTAGAAAAAAAAGATAGAAATTCTCATTAGAATTTACAAGAATGGAGAAGGGGAGGGGGGCCTCCCTAGTGAAAAATATGCCCATCTGGACATCATGTTTGACACCAGCCCTGTGTCAACATAGGAGATGTTTGGTTGAAGTTGTTTTCTAAGTAGGAGATTCTAATGCAGACATGTCAAACACAAGGCCCGGGGGCTGGATGCGGCCCATGAAGCCATCCTGGAAACAGTGAGGGAATGGCCCCCGCTGCCTTGGCCCTGGCCCAGGCTGGCCGGGAGCCAATGTACAATTTTGTGGTGGCCATTTATGCTGAAATGCATTCAGTCTTAGCTCCACAAGCCCGTCCAGAAACAGCGAGAAACCAGCCCCTGCCGCGTTGGCTCCGCCCCCTGGGTGCATGCCGGGGAGGTGTCACCCTTTGTGAGGAATGAAGAAATGCACCATGCCTTGGCACTTGCCCCAGTCCCACCCCCTTCTGCCAGAGACCCTCAGATCTGTCCCACTCCTGCCCAGGCTCCCACAGGCACCCTTGGCGCAAACGATGTAGAGCTGGCCATGCCCACCCAGTAGGCCACACCCACTCCATCCACACCCTCCTAGTAGGTCGCACCCACCATGGCCACACCCACCCGGCCCCCCAAGGGCTACCGCAATGCTGATGCGGCCCTCAATGAAATTGAGTTTGACATCCCTGCTCTAATGGAATCCAAGAGATTTTTCAGCCCTGAACCAGATAAAGGCTTTGCTGTTGATAGGTCAATCTGCCTGGGGATTTCCATGGAAAAACCATGGTGAGCATTTCTGCCAAGGCCTTAGTTGTGTTCTAGAAAAGTGGCTTTGATGACCACCTTGGATAAAATTGTCCATGAAGTGCCTTGGCTGGTTTGTCATCCAAAGGGAAGTGTATGGGGCTCTTTGCGCCTGTGGCTCCTCCATTGGGTATTATCGACAAGCTAAACCAGGGGTAGGCAACCTTGGCTCTTTTATGACTCGTGGACTTCAACTCCCAGAATTCCTGAGCCAGCCGGCTGGCTCAGGAATTCTGGGAGTTGAAGTCCACGAGTCATAAAAAAGCCAAAGTTGCCTACCCCTGAGCTAAACATTCTGACTCTGATTTTCCTGAGGTTAGGGAAGGTTTTACAGGCGGTACCCAGATAAAACGTCTTACCATCTTAAGTATTTGAGTGCAGGTATCTTCCCTGTTTACCTGCCACTGAAAACACCTTTCCCAATGAACGGAACCTAGAGCAAAGAGGATCCTTACCCAGAGTGGCCATATTACTAGAGACCTCCAGCATGACTTCCCTCCACAAGGCCTTCTGTCCAGAATCCAGAAGTGCCCACTCCTCCTCTGTGAAGTCCACAGCCACCTCCTCAAAGGGAGCAGAGTCCTAGAAAGAGAAACAATATCTTCATTAGTAGACAGCCCTCTCTTACGTTTTCTTTCTTACTTCCAAAAGAGAAAACAGAGCTTTGCAAGAGATCAAATGGACATTTTCTTATAGGACAGACATAGGCCCTGCAGGTACACAAGGTCTTTTAAAGGGTAGGAAGTCTCCCTCCACTTCCTCCATGCTGCTGTTGTAAACGTGGCTTAGATGCATCCAAGTTGTAGAATGGCACTTCTTGGGAACCCCCACCCCTCCTGAAATAACTCACCATGGTGGTTTGGGGAAGAGAAATCCCTTGGCTCAGCAAAATACAAATTTCTTAGAAAACAGACCAAAACTACTAAGAATTGTTTAACCTGACCCGTTTTAAAATGTTGTAAATGACCCTGGAAATATCAAGTCACTTGACCAACAGACTTACTGGGCACAGCACAGAGGCAATGCAGTCAGCTGGCAATTCTAACAGTTCTTTTATTGCTCCAAATTTTCCCCAAATGCTCACACTTTTGCTGACAAGCCTCCAACAACAGAACACACACACACCCCGACACCCCTTCAGCCGACTCTGGCTGAAAGTAGGTTCAAATACAGTCTGATTAGCATAAGAAAGTACTCAAGGCCATAGAGATAACAAGGAAGAAAACATAAACTTAACCAGTCTGTTTGAATCCTAGCTTGCCTGAGCAGTTTTCCAAAGAGAGAATCCAAAATACAGTCCGATAGCCAAAGTTTCCAGGTTTCCAAACAGAAGTCACAAAACAAGAAATTAGCAACAACACACAACACTCCAAGGAATCAGTGTTTGTTCCCAACAAATACCCCTCCCTACAGCGTCTCCTTAAATCTCAATCTCCAGGTGTTCCTTGTGGAGAAGGGCAGGATGCTCTCCTCCCAAGTAATTGAGCCTGCCTGCGTTCTTCCCTCCTTCTCTCCGTGCTCTAGGACACAGGTCAGCAACCTGCGGCTCCGGAGCCACATGTGGCTCTTTGAGCTTTCCTCTGTCGTTCCCAGCCTCCTCTGCCATTTGCAGAGACAGAGAGAGGCACTTGTGTTTCCCTTCTCTCTCTCTCTCTCTCTCTCTCTCTCTGTGTGTATGTGTGTGTGTGTGTGTGTGTGTGTGTGTGTGTGTAAAAAAGAGAGTGGTCTCACCCTGTTCGACGAGCTGACAAGCGTACTGGGTGGGGCTCCTGCCTTGGCTGCGTCTCTGCAGGAAGCAGGAAGAGCAGGAGAGAGCTAGCTATCCCAGTTATGCTGACTCAGGAATTCTGGGAGTTGAAGTCCACAAGTCATAAAAGAGCCGAGGTTGCCTACCCGAGCTTGTTGGAGAACAGCTTGAAGCCAGCTTGCCAGGTGAGCAGAAGATCGGAGAATGTGGGGGAGAGAAAGAGAGAGAGACAGGGAGAGAAAGAGAGAGAGGAAAGAGAGAGAAAGAAAGAGAGTGGGGGAAGAGGACTGGCAGACCAAGGTCAGAAAGAGAAAGAGAGAGGGGGGAGAGGAAAGAGAGAGAGGAAAGAGAGAAAAAGAGAGAGGAAAGAGACAGAGAAAAGAGAAAAAGAAGAGAGAGAGGGAGGAAAGAGAGAGAAAGAGGGAGGAAAGAAAGAGGAAAGAGAGAGAGAGGAAAGAGAAAGAAAAAGAGAGAGAAAGAGAGAAGAGAAAGAGAGAAAGAGAGGGAGAAGAGGGGGAAAGGAAAGAGAGAGAGAGGGAGAGGAAAGAGAAAGAGAGGGAGGGAGAGGAAAGAGAAAGAGAGAGAGATGGAGAGGAAAGAAAGAAAGAGAAAGAGGGAGAGGAAAGAGAGAGAAAAAGAGAGAGAGAGAGAGAGAGAGAGAGAGAGAGAGAGAGAGAGAGAAGGAAAGAGAGTGGGGGAAGAGGACTGGCAGACCAAGGGCAGAAAGAGGGAGAGGGAGGGAGGGAGGGAGGGACAGAGAGACCCTTTTGACATCTAAAATGAAGATACCATATATCCTTTTTTTTAACCTTTATTATAGGTGTATACACACACACACACATATATACCTATAATAAAGGTAAAAAAGGATATATGCAGTGTTATCTTCATTTAAGATATCAAAAGGGTTTTGTGACTCCCAGTGTTTTGTTTTCGGTGGGAAACGGGTCCAAGTGGCTCTTTGAGTGTTTTGGGTTGCCTACTCCTGCTCTAGGATCAGGTGGGGGTGGCCCTTGCTCATCGCCTGAACTCTCCTCTCCTGTTCCTTCTGTTCCAATCCTGAAGGGGCTCTGGCCTGCCTCGGCCTGCTCTTCCCCAAATTCCTCTGAAGCCACAGACACCTCTCCCTCAACCTCCAGTTCATTTTCCTCTGCAGATTCAGGCTCAGGCTCAGACGGAGGCATGACACTTACCATTAAACGGTGTCATCTTTGACTTAGGAGATTTTATAGGAGAAATTTGTCCTTCCTGTAATTTACTTTTAAGTGGATATGTTGGCCTGCTTCTGAAGCAGTTTTTGTACAATTGATAATTGTTTCCCTTCGTGGTTTTTATTTTTTAACTGCTTTCCCAAAGTCTTTAGAAGAATATTAAGAGAAATTAAACACTTCCAACATATAAATTATATTTGCAAATAGAAGACTCTTCTGAATTGTCCTTCGTTTGCATTCTCAGAACAATCTTGGAGGTTGAATGAGCAAGGCTCACTGGCTCATTCTATGGGGACAGCAGGTTCAAATATACACAGATTCAGCATTTGGTTTTCAGAGTAACTCATGAACAAAAGGCATTTAAACTTCTCACAAGAAAGCTACACTTACCTGGCAAGGTGGCCCCAGTTGAATTCTCCTGAATGCAAACTCTTCAGAATCATCGGATGGATCTCTTTTTCCATGGAGCTCCGCTGAGATCTCCCCAATGAATGGCTCCTGCACCTGAAAGGAAAGTCTGGCTTATGATCCACTTTCAAATGACTTTAACCATGTTAGTTTGCTTGTACTTTTCCAACCCAAGTCGAAATGAGAGCTCTCTGGTTTGCTGTCATTTCTGAATAAATGCCTGCCACTTTTGTAAAATTACTTCATTGCTTCTTTTTTTGTTCCGTTTTCCTTCGGATCAGGAGCTGTTTCTTTATCTCTTCCCCTTTACTGTGGCCTTTGCTTCTTTTTGAATGTATTTATGCCTGTTCTATTTTGTCCTTTTTCTCCTTTATCTCCTGAGGGGGGAAAAAAGGATTACTCTCTCCTTCCTTTTGGAGTGCCTTCTCTGTGCCTCTTGCAGTGATGAGACCATCAACCTGGCAGTTCCAAGAGATCTTGGAATGAACACTGAAATGGTTTTTGAGGTAAAATGCACCCCCTGAAAACGAGATGACTGTCATCAAAAGGCAATTTGGACACTTCATTCTTTCTCACCGCAAATTCCCAATCAGGTTTCACTTGGAATGAGAAATTTTTTAAGACGATTTTGAAAATATAGAAAAACAACACCCGAACAAGGGAGAATCTCTCATGCAACAGAATGTAACCTTTCGGCATATTTGCCCAATAAACCACTTTTACAAAATGATTCCGAACGATATTCAACTTTAATGATATACTCTCCATATCAAAGCACAGGGATACGCAGAGGGCAATAATAGTCTAAGGTAGACTAAAAGAATGACATGCCACAAATTGGGGATAGATCAAACTAGAATTAGCGAGTAACAGCAATGAAAATCATGACAGGTGCATTTAATTTGTTGCTTTCCCTCACTATTGCGGTAGCACTATACAGGATGTAGACTGATAACAACAAAGTAAATATACAATGTAATACCTAGTGCTTTGACCCTGTACCAGAGGTATTTTACATAATCTAAATGCTGGGCTGTATTCAGCTAGAATTAATGACAGGAAACCATAATGTAAACACTGATTTTATGACATGTTAATAATATCAGGAAGGATACACAAGTGTATAAAGTAAGAGAAAGCTCAGTTTAATAGCCTATCAAAACAGTCCAGGAAATAATGCTATATAATTGCATTAGTTACTTTATCTTTTTTTTCTTATAATTCTGTTTGAAATAGTAATGACAATATGTATTTAATCTGAAAAGTAGGTTTGCTCAGGCCTCTTTTCTGCTGTCGACAGCTAGGGAGCCCCATGATCACCGTAAAGCAATATGAATAAGGTATACTTTGTTGTTTTCTTAGGATTTTTCTCACAACTCTATCTGATTTACAGTGGGAACTATGCTTAGAATTTAGGAAACACGTAACCTGTGTTACGTAATAATCCATTTTTCTGCTTACATTAGTTGGGAAAGTCTTATAGTCTTGGGATTTGCATCTCTTAATTAATTGTGCAGAAACTAAGCAATGTAAAAAAATGGATAACTATATTCACACTGTGACTTGATAATGCATTTTAATGTATACCACTGCTTTCTAGGGTGTTTGTACTCACTACAGCCAAAACAGGAGGGGGAAAAAGGGGGGCTTTCAGTTTTTTTGCCTCGTAATATCAAAAATAGGTTTTGAAACATGCAAGTTAAATACCATTTCGGCCACCCTGAACACTATTTTCATATTTTATAAGTTTTTATAATGCTCTGCTCATTCTTTGGGCAAATAGTACTCAACATACATTTGAGCCCAAAATTTGTATAGCTGAGACAGTTGTTAGGTGAGTTTTGCCCCAATTTACGTCCTTTCTTGCCACAGTTGCTAAATGAATCACTGCAGTTGTTAAATTAGTTGAGTCTGGCTTCCCTATTAACTTTGCTTGTTGTTGTTGTTGTTAGTTGCGAAGTTGTGTCCGACCCATCGCGACCCCATGGACAATGTTCCTCCAGGCCTTCCTGTCCTCTACCATTTTCTGGACTCCATTTAAGCTCACGCCTACTGCTTCAGTGACTCCATCCAGCCACCTCATTCTCTGTTGTCCCCTTCTTCTATTGCCCTCGATCTTTCCCAGCATTCGGCTCTTCTCCAGGGAGTCTTCCTTCTCATTAGGTGGCCAAAGTACTTGAGTTTCAACTTCAGGATCCGGCCTTCTAAAGAGCAGTCAGGGTTGGTCTCCTCTAGGACTGACAGGTTTGATCACCTTGTTAGAAGGTCACAAAAGGTGATCACATAATTCAGGGAAACTGCAACCGTCATAAATATGGGACAGTTGCCAAACATCTGAATTTTGATCAGATGACTGTGAGGATGCTGCAACAGTCATTAAGTATGAAAAACAGTCTTAGGTTACTATTTTCAGTGCTGTTTTAACCTCAAATGGTCGCTAAATGAATGGTTGTAAGTTAAGGACTACCTGTACTAATTTGCACCGGTGTGAAATACCTCTGCTTTTGTTTTCCTGCTTCTTTCCAGAAATATTATCTAGAATAGGGGTGTCAAACTGCCAGCCTGCAGGCCAGATGCGTCACGAGGAAACCACGCCACCCCATTGCCAACAATGGGCAAAAAGCTCTGATATGTCGCGTGATGTCACGTGATGTCGCGAATTTGACATGTCTGATCTAGAAGAAGAAATATAATTTTCCAACAACCAGTTTGGTTAATATGAGAAAGAGGTTCACTTAAGTTCAATGCTAATGGTACTGACCAAGATTTCTAAGAGGACCAGAGAACTGGGATGATCCAATTGATATATTGTTTGGATACAGGAGCCCTCTTAGATTCAGAGTTCGGGTCTGCATCCCTGTTTTGTGAATCCTGACTGAGGAACCATTTATCAGCCCTTCGAGGTAGACCAGATAAGAACCATGACAATGAATATTAGCTCTATAGTTATTATAAAGCCACATACATAGAATATTGCAACTCTCAAAGCATTTTTCTCATCTGCTCCTTTTACCTGCAGCAAAGCTAGGGTTTTTATGAAATCCCCCCCACTCCGCCTCCAGCCCCATCACCATGTGGGAATTGACATATCTTTTGCATTATGGTTGTCCAGTCCATGACAAAGTATGTGGTGTAGCGCTAGATAAAATGGAATATGGGAATAACGTCCCACAAAGTTATTCCCACATACTGTAACAACTGCCCAACACATGTTGTCTGGGTGTTTTTTGCGACTCTTTATATCACAGGTCTTCAAACTTGGCCCTTTTATGACTTGTGGACTTCAACTCCCAGAATTCCTCAGCCAGGCACGGTGGCTGAGGAATTCTGGGAGTTGAAGTCCACAAGTCATAAAAAGGCCAAGTTTGAAGACCCCTGCTTTATATAGAAAACAGAGGCGTAGAAGGGGATGAAATTCTCTCTCACCTGCCGGCCCTCTCCGGGGGGCTCCCGCGGGGCGGAGGAGGGCGGCGAGCCGAGCAGGCAGCCCTCGGCCAGGGCCACCGCCTGGGCGCAGCTCTCCGCCCCGCACTCCCGCAGCCAGCCCGCCAGCTCCGGGGGCAGCAGGGCCAGCAGCTGCTCCAGCACCACCCGATCCAGCATCTCGGCTTTGCCGCTCCGCTCGGGCCGCAGCCACCCGCGGCATAGCCGGTGCAGGCGGCTGCAGAGCGCCCGGATCCCCTCGGCCTCCCGGGGGCGGCAGCTGCGGAAGCGCCGGCGCTCGGCCTCGGAGCTGCGGGTCCCCTCGGGGAGGCCGCTCGGGTCGCCGCCGCCGCCGCTTTCCCCGGACTCTCCGCCCCCGCCGCCGCTCCCCTCCTGAAGGACCGCGGAGGCGGCTGCTGCTGCTCCCGCCCCCGGACACCCTCGAGCCTCCATTCGGTCTCCCTTTTCGGCGAAGTCGCCCTCGGTCACGGCGGACCCTCCCCCCCTCGCTCCTTGCCCCGCCCCTTTCCCGGTTTCAGGAGGGGCGAAAAGGGGCGGGGCTCCCCTTCCTCAGAGCTTCTGAGGCGGAGAAAAGCAGCTGCAAATCGCTCCCGCCTCAGGCTCCTCCTTCCTCCCAGACACTGGGTCAGAGAGGGCTGCTTCCTAGAGAGGCAGAACTCTTTAAGCCCCTTGGTTTACTGCTCTTGGCTAGAGCGTCTCCTAAGCCTCAGGCAATTAACCGCCTCTCTTGTCCTCTTCTCGACGTCCAGGACGGGCAAAGTTTTTCTGCGCATGCCCCGTTCCCTGATGAGTTTTGGGTCTGGCGGAATCTTTAGTCGGGGAGTGGGGGGGGGATGTTAGAGGGTGGAGAACGGCCCGGGGGGGGGAGATGATGGGCATGGTGAGGATTGAGGCGGGTCTAGAATGAGAAAAACGCCTTTGCATGGAACCTGATTTGATTGTTGCTTCTTGATATCTGGGATTTCTCTTTTTTTCCCCAGAACCCTTTTATAAATGTGGTTTTGTTCTTGGGAACGGAAGGAACAAGCGGGAGGGGGAACGTCATAGAGATGGTGCTGCAAATGTGAGAAAGGGAAAGTGTCCGAGGACAGTTATCCAGCGCAGTAAACTTATTTATTTTTAAATTGCTATTTAAACAAAAGATGCTTTGGGGATTCCTTCAGGCTAGCTTATTTATCCTCTCTTTGGTCTGTGTGCCTGGCTGAGGAATTCTGGGAGTTGAAGTCCACAAGTCATAAAAGGGCCAAGTTTGAAGACCCCCCCCCCGCCTTTAAGGAATGTAGTATTTTTTTTTTAAATTCCTAACCAGTATTTTTGTGTAGGCTTTGAGCAACTAACCTTGTTCTGTATTGTACTTCATCATTCATGAAGTTTCATTTTGTATACCCATCTGCACCCAACCGCTTTTTCTCCCTCTGGTACCCTGATTGGAGTGAAAACTTTATATTTTTGCATAAGCAACATTTTCTTATCCATAGCCTCTTTCCATTTCTTTTGCTCTGCCATGGGTAAATTTAATACTTCTTGGTAATTTTGGGGCTCATAAAAATATTACATACTTTTACCTCCTCAGGTGTGAATCTTTTTGGAGGAACACCTTTGTTTGCTCTTTCCGACCTCCTTGGAATAAAATGTTCCTCACAAACAAAAGCGAATATAAATGTCCCAGGATAACGTTGCAGGATTCAGTCTGGGTCAGTCACCTCTGGCTCCAGTGATCGACCCAGATTGGATCCTGTAAAATGTTCCTGTTTCACCAGAATCTCACTCTCTATATTCTATGTGAATGTTCATTTATTGGACACCTCTGACTAAGAGGCATAAACATTTCAGTATTGGCATGTACCTTTCCCAATTCTCATGTTCTGAAAAAGTTGCAATGCAAAATAATAACATGTTTATGTCCATCTGTTAACCTATATACCTTTGATCCTGACTGATAACTTATACATTTTAATTTCCTTCACTTTGATTGTCCTTTCCTATTAGTTTTGGGAATGTACAACCATGCACTGCTGCCAAAGATTCTCAAATATGCCAAAGATGGGTTTTATATAACATGTAATATGAAGTTTCATTAATCGTTGAACTCCATAGTCTAGTGACACAAATAATTGGCAGTTAAATTGCCTCACCCCAATATAGCTTACTTATTCCTCCATCTGCTAGGAATGCATCTTTCAATTTGTAACACACCATTCCTGCGTTCAGCAATTCCATTCTTTGCTGAAGTGTAGGGCTTTGTTCTTCTATGGGTTATGCCTTTCTTTCTCAGCCATTGCTGAAATTTATTAGACATGAACTCTGAACCTGTTTGTAGTTGACATACATTTTGATTACACTCCTTCATTACAAATATTACCTGCTCTTAAATTGTTGAAACACTTGTTTTGCTTTTTAGTACATAACAAAACCTGTTATCTTCAGAAATCATCAACCATCAAAAACAATTTGGCCCCTCCTATTGACGGAGATAGAGGGCCAATTAAATCAGCTTATACAAACTGAAATATTCTGTCAGATTTCCTATCACTTCTTTTGACGACAGGGTATACTTTAGATTTTGCCTCTTTGCAAATAGCACAATCCAAATAGTTGGTGCACTCTTTTACATTTTCTGCAATACTTTAAAGCTTGCATGACCCAGCCTTCTGTGTAATAAATGTGCACATCCATTATGCTTTGGTTCATTAGAAAAGATGGTCTGCACACTGGCACCAGTTTCCTTGTGGTTCAAAACATATAAATTGTTCAGTTTTAAACCTTGTGCACACACCCTGTTATTCTTTATGACAGTCATAAAGGACTCAAATGTCTATACACCAATGCACAGAGTATGAACAGCAAACAGGGTGAACTAGAAATTCAGGTTAATGAGGGCAGATATATTGTTCCCGTTACGGAAATATGGTGGGATGTAACCCACAAATGGAACACACAGCTAGAGGGATTTAAATTATTTAAAAGAAACAGACCAAATAAAAGAGGAGGTGGAGTTGCTCTATTTGTAAGAAATAACTACATCTCTACAGAAATAGAACACAACAATGATGAAAACCGTCCTGAATGCATTTGGGTCAATATAAAAGGGGGGGAAATGACATTGCCATAGGTGTATACTATAGGCCACCCAATCAAACAGAGGAAATAGACAAACTTTTTGCTAGATAACTAACTAAGGTATATAGGATAGCACATCACAAGAGTAATGGGGGACTTTAACTACCCTGCCATCAACTGGGAGATAAACTCTTCACCAAGTGGAAGATCAAACAGATTCCTGACAAACCTAGCAGACAATTTTGTCTCCCCAAAAGTAGAGAAGGGAACTAGGGGATTAGCCATATTGGATCTAATTCTCACTAACAGAGATGAAATGATAGAAGGTGTTGAAGCCATAGGAACCTTGGGAGGAAGTGATCATGCAATATTGGAATTCAACATTATGGAAGCACAAGCACTAGAACACAGTCAAACTAGTCTTGGACTTCAAGAAAGCTAATTTCAATAAACTTAGGGCTTGGGAAGGATTCCATGGATGACAATCCTCCAGGGGAAAACAACTCAAGAAGCTTGGGAAATTTTGAAAAGTGAGATAATAAAAGCCCAGTCTAGCATAATACCAACAAAGAAGAAAAATAACAGCTCTCAAAAGAAAGCAGCATGGCTGCATAAAGAACTCTCTGATAAATTGAAAGATAAAAAGGACAAGTATAAAAAGTGGAAAGAGGGGCACATAACTAAGGCAGAATATCAGCAAACAGCCCGAGCCTGCAAAGATGAAGTGAGGAAAGCTAAGGCTCAAAATGAACTAAGGCTTCCAACCAAAGTCAAAAATAACAAAAACATGTAAAAACAAGTACATCTTTTTACATCTTTCAACATGCAAATAATAAGAAAAAAATGAAGGAAATGATTGGTCCATTAGTAGGGGAAAGTGGCAAGAAGGTGACAAGCAACAGAGAGAAAGCAGAACTATTTAACTTGTTTTTTGCATGTCTTTACACTAAGGGAAAAAAACAGACCAACTTATGAAAAATAGTGCCATAAAAAATAGAATAGAAACACAAGATAGGCAAGAAAATGCTAAGTGAGCACCTGTCCAGTCTAGACGAGTTCAAATCACTAGGACCAGATGGATGATGATGATGATAATAATAATAATAATAATAATAATAATAATAATAATAATAATAATTCGCTATTAGTCAATTGCAAAAGGCGGCCTTACTAGGAACTGCTTCCATCCTGCGACGATACCTGTAATACCATCAAACATCCACATCTGCCTATCCCAGGTCCTGGGTAAGGACTCGATAGGTAGACAAAATGCCAAATCCAGTCTGAACATCTGGCTGATTGTGCGATGATCCATAATAATAATAATAATAATAATAATAATAATAATAATAATAATAATAATAATAATAATAAAAGTTGGAAGGGACCTTGGAGGTCATCGAGTCCAACCCTCTGCTCAGGCAGGAAACCCTATACCATTTCAGACAAATGGCTGTCCAGTCTCTTCTTAAAAACTTCCAGTGTTGGAGCATTCACCACTTCTGGAGGCAGGTTGTTCCACTGGTTAATTGTTCTAACTGTCAGGAATTTTCTCCTTAGTTCTAGGTTGCTTCTCTCCTTGATCAGTTTCCATCCGTTGCTTCTTGTCCTGCCTTCAGGCACCTTGGAGAATAGCTTGACTCCCTCTTCTTTGTGGCAGCCCCTGAGATATTGGAACACTGCTATCATGTCCCCCCTCATCCTTCTCTTTGTTAAACTAGACATACCCAATTCCAGCAACGTTCCTTATGTTTTAGCCTCCAGTTCCCTAATCATCTTAGTTACTCTTCTCTGTACTCTTTTTAGAGTCTCAGCATCTTTTTTACATCGTGGTGACCAAAACTGGATGCAGTATTCCAAGTGTGGCCTTACCAAGGCATTGTAAAGTGGTATTAATACTTCACGTGATCTTGATTCTATCCCTCTATTAATGCAGCCTAGCACTGTGTTGGCTTTTTTGGCAGATGCAGCACACTGCTGGCTCATATTTAAGCAATTGTCCACTAGGAGTTCGAGATTCCTCTCACAATTACTACTATTGAGCAAGGTACCCCCTATACTATACCTGTACATTTGGTTTTTCTTGCCTAAATGTAGAACCTTTTTTCACCATTGAATTTCATTTTTAGATAGCGCCCAGTGTTCAAGTCTGTCCAGATCCTCCTGTATCTTAAGCCTGTCTTCTGGAGTGTTGGCTATTCCTGCCAGCTTGGTGTCATCCGCAAATTTGATGAGTTCCCCATCTACCCCCTTGTCCAAATCGTTGATGAAGATGTTGAAGAGCACTGGGCCTAGAACAGAGCCCTGGGGCACCCCACTACACACTTCCCTCCATGTAGATGCAGTTCCACTGAAGACCACACGCTAAGTACAGGTGGTCAGCCAGTTAGGAATCCATCTAGTGGTGATGCTGT